TTGATAGAAGATACTGGGCGAATAAGTCGTCCAGCACCGAAGGACGAACGCCGCGACGAACGGCGATAAGGGCGGGGCCTGCGACCACCAGATGAACGATTGGAGGACCTCATGAACCTATCCTGGGGAATGGGAGAAGAAGGCTCGCGCCGATCCCCCTCAGAGGGGCAACTGCTGACCCTTCCGGCACAATTACTAGTCCCAGAAGCTTCACCAGAATAGGGAACAACAGCCCCCAAAGCTCTTTCCGGCAGAAGGTCTAAAATCTCACTCTCACTGAAACCTAACAACTCAGGTACCTTACCGTAGGGTAGAGAACTAACCCCAGGAACTAAAGGGGTAGGAGAGAGGATGCTATCACCACTCCAAAGAGGGCGGTTGGCAAGATACCTACGCATAGCAAGTCCAACCTCAAGGCTGTCAAGGGAATCAAACGCCTCATCAAACTCCTCCTCTTTAACAGTTCCTCCTAACCCAAGTAACTCCTCAGCCGACATCTCACTAAACTTAACCATAACTGAGGGAAGAAAGCAGAAGCAAGAAATAAATCTCAACGTAAAGAGAAAGGAGCGAAGAACAACGTACCTGTAACTAAAGAGTTTCCGAAAGAAGGAAGAAAAGAAGGAGTCCTAACCACCAGAAGTCCTTACACAAGAACAACAGAACCAGAGAATGTGCAGCAAGAAGTAAAACCTCAAAGCCCAATGGAAAGTTGCGAAGATTAATACAGGCGAAAAAGGAGAAAGCTGAGTATGAACAACACCAGAGATTGACGAAGGTTGCAGAGAAAGTTTATAAGATTTTGAAAGAGGTGGATAATAACAAGGTTAACATTTTTATAAGAGAAGAAGGACTATTCATCAACGTACACGTGGAAGGTCAATCAAGGGTAACCGCCAGATCGTGACAACCGTCAAGCAACAAGTGGCCCTGATGGATGACCCTTAGGTAATTTTGGGGTCACAAGACGAGGCTCACGTCGAAATTAATGTGCCGTACTGCGCAACGAAGGGTTTCGTGCAGTTATTGCAATGGCGAAACTGCCATCATTACAACTCTTTGAAAACCGTAAAAGTTAACTGTCACTTTTGACAAGTGTACAACCCATACCAAGCGACACGAACCAAGTATCCCACTGCACTCCCACGATTAAGGACGTCTTATCAACCGTAAGCTCATTCTGATAATTACCTGACACCCAGAGAACAATCGTGACATCGAACCGGTCAGACAGCCTATTAACTGGCCATGACCTAATTCCGCTGATGCCTCAAGGTTAGCCCTATAAACAGTCTCGCCTTGGTCAGGCGTTCATGACAACCTATCTTTGCACCAGGCAATGCTTGCTACCAAGCTGGGGGGCTCCTGTTCCAGATGGCTTAACCACATCCGAAGCCCAAAGGCCTTGTAGCATGGATGGCCCAGTTTCGCAGAGCCCCAAACAGCCTAAGCCCAAAACCCCAAGTTACACACACGTCAGCCCTACCGGTTGGCCCTAGACGCATGCCCCAAGGCAGGTCGCCTCCCAAGATAAGACACCAAAATGTCTTACCTTGGAACCCTATATGCTCTACGGGTCGCCCAGAGACCGTAAGTAGAAACTGCCCTGCTACCGCATGCTGACATCGCCCAAGAGCAGACTCTGCATCACAGCAGCACCAGGCGTGTCAGCTCCTCATAACGAATCCCAAGGAGCGTTGACCTCCAATACGTAAGCCCTAACGGATCAGACTCCTGGACTCCTATAAATACCACCCTTGGGCACAAGGGAAGGGGATCTATCTTTTATGTACTGTTGTTATGCCCATTTACTTCCAAGTCATACTCTTACTATTTGTCTGCCATTAATATCAGTTTGCTACCTCTTGGAATACTACCTTCTAGCCTGGTCTTTACCTCAGCTAGGGGTATAATCCATATAATAACATTATCCTCAAGGGTACATAGTGGGCTCACAGTATCTAACGGTACAAGTGGGAATAGAATTCAGATACTTTTCCAATTGCTCATCCTATGTTACCAACTAAGGTGGGTGGTGGTGTTCGATTTCCAAATCTCATCTTTTTGACCATCTATTATTTGAAACCTCACTCCTAAATCCAAAAAACTTCTCATCAGATACATAATCCCGTCGATCGGTATGCATTTCCTCCCGACATGTTCTCTTTTTAATCCTCTTTGTTATAGCCTTCCAAATATTTCAACGTGTTTAGTAGGAAGATATTTTCAGTGCTACTGGAAATTGTGATTATTTGGTATATCATTTATTAGAGGCTTTCATGTCATTTTGAATTAAAAAATTATAATAAGAAAGACTATTATAATCCTGAAATAAATTATAACTGTAAAAATATCTTAATTTTCATCTTAAAATGTCATTTTGGACTCAATATAGATAACTTATCTAATTATTATTATTGACGGCAGAAAAAATAAATTCTTTATTTAATTTGTTAAAAAACAATTTATTTATATCTTTAGAATTATTTTCTCCCCTATCTCATTTTTCTCATTTTTGATACGGCAGTAGGTATTCTGTAGCACTTTGTTGGCGGAAAAACAAAAGGGAAATAATAGGAAAGCTAAGCTCTTCGTTATTTCTTTCAGGCTAATATTTTTTTTTAAACATAACAATATAAGGGTGATAAATTTGAACATTAACAGTTGAGAGATAATCTTGTATAAAAACACACCCGTATCAGTACATAGATAGGGACATTGACCGTAGTGTCATTTTTTGAATATAATATATCTAAATGTTACGGAATAAAAATATTTTCAAACTGTTACGGTACCATAGTCGTTGAGGTAGTCAGTTCCTATGGATGGAACACATGTCACGTCCTTGGTTGGACACGTCACTCATTCAACCCAAAGTCACAGAGGTAATCAGCTACTTTAGTGCAATCAAACATTCCAGCCATTGGAGAAGAGACACGTGTCTCATGTATAGAAGCTGACTGTCTCAAACAATAACATTCAGATATATTATATTAAAAAAAAGATATGATCAATGTTCCACATGGAAAAATACACGTTGATAAGTCCATGGGAAGGATGTCATGGCTCTCGTCATCGGTGAAAACCATTCAAAGCAAATGGTGTGTGATATTCTCGCCTCTCTCTCTCTCTCTCACACACACACACGAGTTAATGGGAGATAATCTGTAGAAAAACACGCGTATCAGTACAGAGATAAATACACGTTGATAAGTCATAAGTCCATGGGAAGGATGTCATTGCTCCCGTCGTCGGTGTAAACGATTGAAAGAACGTCTGTGATCTTCTCTCCTCACCCACACACACACACACACACATTAAAGAAGCAAACATCCTAGTACAAAATCAAACCATTCCAATATACTCAGCGTTGCTTTTTTGTTAATTGCAATATCAAACATATTATCATACACTTAAGCACTGAAAAATGAGCTGGTGGTGGGAGAGAGCAACTGGCCCCGGCAAGGCAAGTCCCATCCCAATTTGCCTTTGCTCTATCTTTTTTAATTACCTTTTTTTTTTTTTTAGTACAATTTCAATGATCCTTTTCCTTCTTTTTTAGGTGGTTTTTGTTCTGCCTTTCTCATTTTTTTCTTGTGCCTATGCAGGAGAAGAAACTCGAGGAAGCACCACAGAGCTTCCAGAATGTTGCATTGGTTATAGGCGTGACGGGCATAGTGGGCAACAGCCTAGCCGAGATTCTACCTCTCCACGACACACCAGGTGGTCCATGGAAGGTTTACGGCGTCGCTCGCCGACCACGACCAAGCTGGAACGCCGATCACCCCGTCCACTACATCCAGTGCGATATTTCGGATCAAAACGACGCCGAATCAAAGCTCTCACCATTAACCGACGTTACCCACATCTTCTACGTGTCCTGGACCAGCAGACCCACCGAGGCCGAGAACTGCGAGGTGAATGGTGCCATGTTAAGGAACGTCCTACGCGCCGTCATCCCACAAGCTCCGAATCTCCGCCACGTGTCACTTCAGACAGGCGGCAGACATTACCTGAGACCGTTTGAGCTGTTGGGAAAGATCAAAGCCCACGAGCCACCCTTCACGGAGGACTTGCCACGTTTTGATGCTCCAAACTTCTACTACACCCAAGAGGATATATTGTTCGAAGAAATTAACAATAAGGAGGGGTTGACGTAGTTCGTTAACCGACCACAAGTCATCTTTGGTTTTTCACCTTACAGCTTGATGAACATCATTGGTACGCTTTGTGTTTACGCTGCTGTTTGCAAGCATGAGGATGTTCCCTTGAGGTTTCCTGGTACTAAAGCTGCCTGGGAGTGTTGCTATACGGCTTCGGGTGCTGATTTGATTGCGGAACAGCACATTTGGGGTGCGGTGGAGCCTAATGCAAAGAATGAAGCTTTTAATTGCAGCAACGGGGATGTTTTCAAGTGGAAGCATTTGTGGAAGGTGTTGGCGGAACAGTTTGGGATTGATGAATATGGTTTCGAGGAGGGTTCGAATTTGAGGTTGTCGGAGTTGACGAAGGATAAGGGCCACGTGTGGGAGGAGATTGTGAGGGAGAATCAGCTTCAGCACACCAAGCTTGAAGATGTTGGTGACTGGTGGTTTGCGGATCTTATTTTGGGAGTGGAGGCCGCGTTGGATAGCATGAACAAGGCTAAAGAGCATGGCTTTTTGGGATTTAGGAACTCCAAGAATTCCTTTCAAAGTTGGGTACATAAAACCAAGGCTTACAAGATTGTGCCTTGAGTTGCTCTTCTTGTACTTTGACTGCTTTCTTTTCAGATTTTGGAAATAAATAAAAAACGAGAAGAAGAGCTATTTTATGTGCCTGCGTTTAAGTTGTATGTTTTATAATAATGCAGCCGTTTCCATTTCTGCTGTAGTTGGAAGATGAGTTTGTATATCTGTAACTGAATTGTCGGGGTATATGCAGTGTTTTTTTTTTTTTTTTTAAATTTGAGTGGAGTGAGTCATGTATTTCCAATTAAAGTGAGTAAAGAATAAAGAAGCGTCACCTTGAATTTGTACATGCTATGGGACAAAATACAGCTCTAGCATCAACATTACATATATGATACATGGCAACATGCAAGAGGCCAATCCCCAATGTCATCTACTCATCTCTGTCTTACTATACAGTACAACAGAGAACTCTTCATAAACAACTTGAATTTGGAAGGGGCAAAAGAGATTAAATAGCAAAAAACGAAAAATGAGCAAGTGCTATGTAGACTCTAAATAGCAATCCATAGCTTAAGCTAGAATCAGGAAACCTAGCCTATCTCTCTTGCTTAAGAGACAACGTAGGTTATATGAACTTGTATCAAAAGCTTTTCTATCCCTCGTGCTGCCGTCAGCTACAAACTGATAGATCGTGTATCTAAACCATCCTTCTGCTTTGCGCAAAATGCAATTAAAACTGCAGAGATACAAGTGTAACTGTGTAAATCACAATATATATATTATATTTTTTTAAACAAAACAAGGAATACTTCAAGCACGTGAGAAAGCTCTGTCTATGGAACAAAAAGGAATAATAAATTAGCAAATAATAACCTATTGCCAGTATTCGTATAATAGCCATTCACAAAAACCAATAATCCATAATCTAACATTTAACATATTTTTTTTCAAAAAAATAAAATATATGAGGATTGCCCTGCCCCGCCCCGCCCGTTTTAACTCACCCTGCATACACGACTCAACCCGTCCCGTTTGGATCGGTTGACCCGTCGGGTTCAATCCATTTTGTCAACGATCCATTGGAATTTTCTACATCAGTTTTGAAGTCCTAAACATCCCTGAAGTTTTAACATGGAGAGAAAGTCAACCATACTTCATACTGGGGAAGTGGTCCATGGAAATATCTGACCGTTCCATGGCCAAAAGTTAATAATTTTAGTGATCAAGTAACTAAACTAATGCTAGAGGAAAGCATGTTATTATCATCTTCTTAAACTTATATTGTTAACCTGTGGTCACGGAAGTTCTCAAACTGTGGTTCCACTTAATAAAGTTAATAATTTATTCAAAAATTATCTCAAATATAGCATTCAAAAATTTCTTCAATATTATTAGTATTCTAAACAAATTCAAGGAAGCTTAGCAATATAAAAACCGCTCGTGGCAATAATGAGATAGCATGGAAGAGAGAAAGAATGAACATAGACTGTTTATTGATAACTGAATCTCCACATAATAAAGGAGACAGAACTCCTTCCAAAGTTTTCCATTTCAACAAAGAAGTCTTTTACAACTGAAAAACTGCTCTTTTTCCAATACACACCTATCTGAATCCCTCCTCTTCCACCTTTCCTCCTATTTAAGCTATGCCCCTGCCCCTGCCCCTAACAACTTCCAATTGCCTAACTATCTAACTAATTCTATAACTATCCTTCTGGGTCCTATCAATGATTGAAATAACAATAATAATAAAATAGAGTAACAAGGTAAAATTCCTCAAATTCCAAAGTTGTAAGAAGTTGCTCATAAGAAATTGCAAAGCATGCAAGTACATACATGTATGTAGGAATACAGTACGCATATACACTCATACCAACAGCTTACCAATCAAACAGAGGAGAAAAACAATCCAAACAGTTATTCGAACAGGCTGACTGTATTGCATTTGGTATTGAGATCTTTGAAGCTGTCTCTGAATAGCACCATACCATCCATAGAGTTGCTTGTCATAGCATTCATCACAACTATCAAGGCTACTCTTACTTCTTTCAAAGCATGCATTGTTTCCCTTTTTTCAATAAAAGCAAAAAAAATTACATTATTAGTAATTCAATAAATGCAATAAGAATCACTCAAGCAAGTCTGCATTATGAGAGAAACAACAAAAGCAGATTAAGAACACACCCTATTCGTGTCAGCTGTTGGAAGCAGTGAACTATCAGTTTCTTTATGATGATCCACTGCTTTAAGCTTTCTGTAACCATTCCTAGGCCACTTCAACTTAGAGACGGATTTCATGGAACCAAGAAATCCTGATAAACTGGGTACCTTATGCATTAGACCAGAAGAACCACTAGAAGAACTCCATTGCTGTGGGTCATCAGAAACCAAAATTTTCCAAGAACCAATATCAGCGCTAGCACTAGCTGCCCTACGATGCCCATGTGATATCTCCTCCTTTGCTTCACCCCACCCAGATGAAACATGAAAATTATGTAAACAATTACTGACTGAATCCTTATCACTTAATTGTGGATTCCCACTGTCCCTTGTGATAGGCCAAGGGGGATTGTGGCTTTCAGCTGCCGGCTTTCCTGAAAGAAACAAAGCAAGCTCATTTTGTTCTCCTTCGTCCAGACGCACCCAAGGCAGAGATTCCTTGCCATCTGGAAGGATTGATTCATTTAACAAATGCTCAATTTTCTTTATCTTGCTATCCATGGCAGTTATAAAATCTTGGTGCCTATTTCTTGCTTCCTCACTTGAGCTTTTGCTATAAGTTGATCTGACTGCACGTTCAAATTCCTCTAACTGCATTGCCCACCAAAGATGCAACCATTATGATGATAAAATATGTTAAATCAACTAGCTATTTAGCATATTTATCAGGAGTAGGAATTACCTGCCATTTAGCTGTGCCAAGGGCAGTATGTAGATCTCTGCGAAGTTCATCAGAGTTCCACATGTTGGACGTATCTTTGGTTGCATGTATCCATGTCCTATACGTAGATTCCATCCTTGAAAAAACAATGACAACAAATCAATAAGAAATTTTGAGCAGTACAGACAGTAAGATTGTGCACACAAATTCAATATTCAAGGGACACAAAATACAAAAGTTCCACTTCTATCCCTACATTTCATATCCAAAAACGGAACGAAACTGATAAAAAATATGTAAATGGGTACCTGTCTGCAGATTCCTGAACTTCTTCGGCAGCGTTAAAGAAAGGATCTTTTTTCCACCGGTCGAAACTCGACGCCATGAATTAATATGGGTCGATTCAAAATTCGAATAATGGTCAAAATATGAAGAAAAAAAAAAGTTGAGAACAACGATGAACCCGATAATAAACCCTAACTGAGGAAATCTCTGTTGCAGTCACCAATCAATAAAAATGGATTGTGGGTCGTCAATTAAATACCAGAGAAAAAAAAAAATTGATGGATCCGTGAGAAGAGTTCTGATTAGTTAGTTGGACGAGAAGGATGCGGGTTCGAAATGTAAATAGGACAAAGGTAGTTCTTGGTGACCTTTGTTTATTATTTGTTTTTCCACCAAAATTGTTTTTGGGAAGTGCAGTCAACGAGATTTTCTCACGGGTAAGGGAAAATACGGTCATATGTGGATAAGGAAATGGAGCCGAACGCGTAATATTGCAGTGCTGCCAATGTTGGTGGTCAACAAAGTTCTGCCTCATCCTCTTTAACTTTCTATTGCTACGGAACATCAAAGTGGGCTGTGGAATGTTCCGTTTTGAGTAGTTGATGAAATTGACCAGATTATCTGTTCTCGTATTTGATTCTAATCAGGGGTTCAAGAAATACCACATAGTATGTAATTTTTATTTTTTAATATATAATATTTAAAAATAACACAGTCATGTTGTTTATTATATAAGAAATATTTTGTATCAGTATAAAGGATTTAATAATTTTTTATGTAAGATAAAATTATCTTTTACGTATGTATAAAAATATGTGAGCTCTCTTATGTGATCATGTGAATAGAAGAAAAAAATAAAAATAAATGAGTCTCACATATTTTTATGTATATATAAAAAATAATTTTATTTTCTATAATATAACATACATTAATATACAGTATAAATTATATGGATTAAATTTACAAACAAACAAAAAATTATATGGATTAATAATTCTTAAGGTTGTCATTCTCATAACCAGCGGGACAATGCCATTGCCAACTACCTCTGCAATTTGCCATTTGTGATTTGAACAATTTAGCATCACAATTCATTTTATTACTAATTATATACAATAATGATTAGTGAGAGCTTATATTTAATTTTTTTTTTTCTCGTATAACTTCTTACAATCAAATTTTAATCGTTGATTTTTGTCAATTTAAACGGTTATAATTTATTGAATCACATTTATTAATTAATTAATAAATATGATTTAATAAATTATAACCGTTAGATCGGTGAAAATCAACAATTAAAAATTGGTTGTAAGAGATTGTAAGCGAAAATAGGTTGTAAATATAACATTCATCAATTGATTATTATATATTTATTTAAATAAGCTGATTTGTTAGTCTTATATTTATTTAAGTAAATTAATTTGTTAGTCTTCATTTGCATAGTTATTAGTATCTTACTATATACGATACGGTTCATATGATACGATACGATTCACAAGCCCAACGATACATATCGTGGGGTGTATCCGAAAGGGATTTGTATCCAACGATACGATATATGCATCATACGATACAATGTGATTCGATACGATATGTGCATAATACGATACAAAAATTAAATCAAAATTTGTAATTTTTAATATAAAAAAGGAAATAAAAATTTGATTTGCGATTTAAATTAAAAAAATCTAAAAGGATCCTTTTTGAAAAAGGATTATGGATTAGTTATGTCACTGATAGATGCTGATAGTGATAGTGTGATAATATTAGTTTCAACTTTCAATGATTGATAAGTAAGAGAATAACTGGTTTGTACTTTAATTACTCATGTATTTTTCTTGTTGATCATTTTTGGAATTTTGATTTATATGATATTAATTATATTATATATTTTTAAATTATTTTTTATTATATTTCTATATCTTATGATCCGATACGATTCACGACATAAAAAATCGGCCGAACATATACGATATTTATTGCGATTCAAGAACCTTGTTCACTTGTGCTTATCAACAAGGCAAAATTCTCAAATTATTGATATTTATTTATAGATTAATAAATTAATGAAGAGAGAGATAGACATAAAAATTTTACATGATCAAATTATACAAAATTTTAACATGAGAGGATCATTCCTAAAGATTCAATCAACAATTCAAAGACATTATTACACAATACGTGTGATTATTTTGTTTTTATTATTTACAATTATTATTCTTTACCAAGTGTTCCCCCGAACTTTAACCTAACAAAAAAAGCAACAAAGCATTTTCTCAAAAGTAAAATAAAATAAGAGTAAAGTTTTTTTGGGTCCTTAATAAAAAATACGAACCTCACTTTCGTCCCTTACAAAAAAAAAAGTTAACTTTTTTTTTAAAAGATGAAAGTGAGGTCTGTATTTTTTTTTTAAGGACCCAAAAAGAGCTTTAAAAAAAAAAGAAACAACAACAACAAAGCGATACATAATAATAACAAGCTCTGTTAGTCCTATTGCAGGGCCCATAAACAGAGCATTAAAAGTGATCCTGATGTGAGCCCTTTCACAAGGCCGTGTTTGGTATTTTGAGTAAGCCCAACCCATCAATAACAACATATCATAATCATGTCCAGCTGAATGCAATTGGACTCCGAACCTTATGCTCTCCATCCGTCCATTCCAGATAAGCAAAGCTGTTTGTTCCAGAAGGCATTGAAGTATGAGTAAACGACACCGTATAGCTCTTCTTCTCATACAGTTCCGTGAAACTAAGTATTTCTGGTTCAACCATAATCTTCACTGAGGTAGACTGTGATGACACTGAAGCTTTATACGTTGCTGGAGTTCCCACATTAGTTAGAACCCTCGTATACTTGATAGTGTTGGGCGCGTCAGAACCACCTCCTACACCTGAAGCTGTTTCCAAAGGAACAGCAAAAGACGGGTAATTGAAATCTTCCACTCTGTACTTCTTCCTCGAGTCACATGTGAACTCTCTCCTCGCGGCAAGTTTGATTTCAAGTGAAGTGTAGTTCAAGGCACAGAAGAATCCGAGGTAGTCATCAACGTTGGCATCATAGACAAGACCAGGGTCAAGGGCAGCAACTGGATCCACGTGTCCAGCACCAAAATCGAACGGTGTAGCAGGTTGACCCGTGGCAACATCTTGAATGGTTTGTCCATTTTTGTAAGACGTGTATGCTGTTGTCATGAGGGAAGATCTTATAGCAGCAGGGCTCCATTGAGGGTGAGCACCCTTAAGTATTGCAGCCAAACCGCTTACATGGGGACATGACATGGATGTACCTGAAATGATGTTGAATTTCACATGCCTTGTGTCAACGGTTAAACCGGTTGGTCCAATTGCCCCGGTCCAACCGGCTAGAATGTTAACCCCAGGAGCTATTATGTCTGGTTTGAGAATCTTTGGTGTAAGAAAATTTGGTCCTCTTGAGCTGAAACCTGCTACCACTGGCGAAGGTTGAACCTCTAACTTTGTCCCTCCGAAAGCAATTTTAGCTCTGGGATTTTGAGAAGAGAAAACGTAGTTTTTTAAAGCTTCGCTTGATTTTTGTCCCAAAGATGCTGCTGGTAGGAGATGAGGGTCAGCAACTAACTCTTCTCCATACACTTCATTGTTTGCTAGAATCATTCCAATGCCTCCAGCTTTCTTAACCACGAGACCCTTTTCCACTCTGGGGTTTCCACCTCTTTCGCATATCACGATTTTGCCTGAAACTTGTGATGGAATCAGACTATCCTCTAAGCAAAGATACCCCACGGAAGAGTTGCTTACGTTTCCAGCATATACAAGTGGAGAATCAAACAAGGTTTTGCCACTGTAAAGTGACGCTCCAGTGTATGTCTTCCCACTTCCAAGGCTTATATAAGCAGGGAAATTACGGTCTATAGTTCCAGCTCCCACTGTGGTTATCCATGGTGCTACGTTGGACAGGCTTGCTTGACTAGGTCCACCATTCCCAGCTGAAGTTGATACTAGAATTCCATGAGATGTAGCTGTGAAAGCTCCAATAGCAATGATATCTCTGTAATATTCCATTAAACTTCCACCAATTGACATGGATAAGATATTGACACCATCTTCTATGGCTTTGTCAATTCCAGCAGCTATGTCAGAGGTGAAGCATCCACCGAGCCAACACACTTTGTAAGCTGCAACACGTGCTTGTGTAGCCATTCCTCTTGCTGTCCCAGAAGCTAAACCAAAGAGGCTAGCTTCTGTGACTGCAGAACCTGCTGTAGTAGTTAAAGTGTGACTTCCATGGCCATCATCATCCCTTGCTGATTTTGATTCTGTGTTAACATCAATTGGTCCAAGAGCAGCTTCATAGCCTTTGGAGAAAAACCTTGCACCAACAAGTTTCCTGTTACAGTTTGATGAATTCATGTTGTTCCCAGTTTCACACTCACCTTTCCAGAAACTAGGAACTGGTCCAAGTCCTGTGTCATCCAAGCTTTTTAGCTCAGGCCATATACCAGTGTCGAGTATACCTATAATCACCTGGCTCTGTTGCTCTGATGCAGGTAAAAGAGTGCTAGCTTTTTCCAACCCGAGAAACTCTGGTGTTCGAGTTGTGTGAAGCTCGTATTTAACTTCAGGGATAACAGAGAGAATTCCTGGTTGTTTTGCAAGTGTGTCTGCTTCTTGGATGGTTAGCCTTGTGGAGAATCCATGAGCTACGTGTTTGTAAGTGTAGAGAATCTCTGCCGATTCTGATGCTGATTTTAGTGATGAGTCATACCAGTGGAGGTGATCGTTGAAACTTGATGGCATGGTGGATTTGTCCATGTGAATTATGTATGTATTTTTAGCTTGCTGTGCTTTCTTTTCTGCTATGGTGTATCTGCCACAGAATATCAGCAGCAAAACGATGTGAAGAAACTTGAAAATCAGCGTCTTCATCTTGTCACCGTACGTGCTGTGTCTCCAGTATTTTTGGTTAATTGAATCTTTGGCTTCTTTTGTTTTTGCTTAGGAGATGTGGGGATGTAAGGTATTTATTGTTGTTGATTTTGAACTGTTGAATCTGCTCAGATTGTAATAAATTTTTTATTTATTTATTATGTAGTGGTTTATACTTTATATATATAAAAAAAACAATTAGAATAAAAATATAACAAATAATAAAGAACAATTAAGAAAAGTTTTGCTAATTTGCTTTTGGATTTAGGAAAAAAAATAAGGATATTTTGAAAATTTTATTTTGCTCTTATATCATAAATTTTATTAAAATATTCTAAAATTATTTTTAAATTCTAAAACGATGTGATTTTAAAATTGCTAATGTTAATTCCTATAACAAATTATAAAAAATGATTTAAGAAAAAATTTGCTAAATTGGAGCAATAATCTTTGTGAGTGCTTAGAGCATCAAGAAAAGGAATTGTACGATCTTTTTTTTTCTTTATAAAAAAGTTATTTATGATTCCTTTCTTTTATGGCCACTCTATTTATATAATATATGTGGGTAAAGGCCGTAAGGGGACAAGAAGCTTTTTCACTGACGTTATCATCGTACTTTAATTTTATAAAAAGCCACTTAGCAAAGCTCGGATTTTTTTATTTTATTTTTGTAACTTTTTATTGAATTGAGAGAGAAAAAGAGATTCATTTCATACAAGTAATAGTGCCCTTTTAATATCCCTTTATCTTAAACATAGTGCGTGCGAGCAATGGATTAAAGCTGGATGATATTATGTTGAACGACACCAATAATCCAATATATATGGAGATGTGATGGATTTAACGAGGTAAAGTAAGCATTTTCCACTTCGAGTGGGTAGTCAATCTAATTATTTAAGCCTTGATAGACTTCAAGTATCAAATTTCTCTTTTTTAAACATCCTTAGGCTGAAAATTTCTCAGTTACTTACTTACACAATTTAGCTAGACTAAGCCGATTAAAGAGTATACCATTTTAAGTGGCTTGGTTTTGCAACAAAAAAAGAAAAGGTTACAGAAGACCACAATATAGACAAAATTTATCTCTAACAATAATTGACCCTGCTTTTTCTTTTTCTTTTTCTTTTTATATAAATTATGTAGACTGACTAGACAGTCTCACGCATATGTTCTTCGTTTGAAAGTTGGACAAAGAAATTTAAAAGGGACCATCGAAATCAGTTGGCACTATATAATTGACCCTTAATGGTCAGGTCAGGCGTGTAAAAAATGGCGACAACGTCGCTTTAATCTAGTTACCTAGGTAAAGAAAAAATAACGATGAAAAGTTAAGACATTACTAATTACATATGCATTTTCTAACAGCAATCCATTGATTTTGCACTAAAAATCAGTTTTTAAATCAAAAGATCTTTTTTGAAAAATAACTATTCTATAAACAAAACCAATTAATCCAACATACATACATAATACTCCACAGAGATTTATACTGGAAGAATCACTCAGTTTCAAACGCCCTTTGATCTCAAGAAGACATTGACATAATTTTATTTTATTTTTTGATAAACCATTTTACCTAACATATCTTTTTTTTTTTTATCTTGTGATGATTTAATTCCACTAAAAATTAAGGTGATAAGAATTGAACTCATAAACGGTATCTATGGTCGTGAAAATTCTAATACTATAATAAACAATTATCTCCCCTAAAAATTTAAGTTGTGAAGCTACTAAGCTTCCGTGATTTTATACGGAGAACTCTTAAATGATTTTACATCGAGGACTGCTATTTAGCGTTCATGTTTCAGATTGTTACCATCATTCATGGGGAATTGTGCACGATTGTGACCGTGAACTGTAAAGGCAGGAATTAAGTCACAATTGCCAAGGCATTGTTCATAACAATTATCGTTATGGGATAAAAGTTGTAGATAAGAAGAGGAATTGCTGAATAGACAAAGGGAGAAAGTCGTTTAATCATTGAGAGTAGATACGTTTGAGTTGCAGTTTCTCCAACTTGTAAGCTTGTTTGTTCTGCTTTATTCTGGCTATTAGCTGGAATGGACCTACCACTTTTAAATGCTAATAACCACAAAGGTTTAAGCAACCTGTTTTCTGTACTTAAGTTTTGCTTGCTGTCAAGTTTAAACAATTGAACATGTTGAGTTTACAAGCACTTCACCAATAATTGGTAATCAATGTAATTTACTTATTGGCCTTCTTTGTCATTAGCGATGTGCATGAGTCAGATCGGATTAGGTTTTTGTGCTGACTCGACTCAACTTGGATTTTGTAGGTCAGGTATTTCGACTCGATCCGCGCTTTAATTTGATCCAAGTCAGGTCTGACTTTGTTTGGAATTTTTTGAATTAGTTCAGAACTGGGTCGGATCTAACCTGACTTGGTTTCTGAAGTGGGTCTGACTTTGTTTCTGAAGTAAGTAGGTCAAATATGACCTGACCCGTTTTTGACTTGGTTTCGTCACAAAATTTCGTCGAAATTTCTACGTTGCAAACGACAAAAATTTCGTCACAAAATTATTTTTTTGTCGGAATACTTTTTGTTAAAAAGCGACGGAATTTTTTCTCTAATGAAAATTTTTACAAAAATAAATTTTCTATCGAAATTTAGTTTCCGTCAAAAGTTTTGACGAAAATGATTTCCTCCATCAAATGTTTTGACAGAAATGTGTTCCGTTGAAAATTTTGATGGAAATATTTTTTATCAAAAAACTTGATGAAAATATTTAGTCGAAAATTTTCGATGGAAATGTGTTTCGCTAAAAATTTTGACGAAATTTTTTTTTTGTCAAAAAGTTTAACGAAAATGTTTTCGCCGAAATTTGAATTCTGTAAAGAATTTTGATGAAATTTTTTTCCGTCAAAAAAATTTCTGTAAAAATGTGTTTCGTCGAAATTTTTGATGAATATGTTTTTTTTTTGAAATATTTTGACGAAATTTATATTCTGTAAAAAAATTTGACAAAAAATAATTTCCGTCAAATTTTTTTACAGAAATGTTTTTAGTTACAAATTTTGATGAAAATATTTTTCGTCAAAAAATTTTGATGAAAATATTTTCCGTAAAAAATTTTGACGTAATTGTTTTACGTTAGAATTTTTCTTTTAATGTAATTGTGATTTTTTTTCTTTTTTTTTTCACATAATGAGTATGGGTCAATGGTAATTATTAAAACAAGTCAGGTCTAAAACTGACCCAAATAAAAGTGGGTCAGTATTTTAAACCAGTTAAAAAAAATAAGTATTGTTATAAAAAAAAAAAAGTATTTATGAGTCAAGTCAAGATCAGATTAAGGGCAGAGCAATTAAACCAATTTTTTTGCACACACCTTTTTGCCATTCACTTGAACATTTCATCCAAATAAGAATAACATCGGGTCCCAAATTACAGCAATACACAATCAAGTTCAGGGGACCTTAATCATCGAGGTAAACAACAAATTTTGTAGGCAATACTTTTAGTCAATTCTTACCATGATGGATTTGTTGGAGGTCAGCATCATTCTAAAAACAATCACTGATGAATGAGAATCATGTGTGACGCTTAGACCTTTCTTCCCTCATGATTTCTCAATTCTGATAGCTCTTTTCTACAGTGGCCAATAGGTGCCTTATCAGTTTCAACCATAAACGGGTGAGTTGGCAGAGAAAATGAAAGAATCACCAATTAAGAAGGAAAGAACAAAGAACTATAATAATAGTTATTGTAGTAAAGAATTTTGCTCGATTCCTGTCCAATGGAATCTAATCTTTGCTTCGAGGTCTCTAAGCTAATGGCCACACATTCAACAAGAAAATGACTTCGATGTCTAGACAAATTATACGTGTATTTTTATTTCAAACCATAAATGCATTTGTCTATGGATTGACTTCACATATTATAAATACTAAATTATATGGGGACAGAGTTATTTTACATCATTCTCAATCATATTGACCTCATTTATATCTAATACTCTAACCATGAGATAAATCAATGATTATATGTGTGTGTTACAGAGAATAATATTATTATGATATGATTATTGAATTAAAAATTCTATAAAATTAAGAAAGAAGACAAAGAGTAAAAGAAAAGTTTTAAAAATAATTACCCCCTCTTATCGGAGATATCCAATCAACTATATCAATTTATACAACTTTTAAGAAATTGTTTTCATGGAAATAAGCATTTTTCCAAAGAAAAATACTTAAAATGTCAAGATATATTAAAACATCATTTGCACTACTTGTATATAAGTAATTATAAATTTTATATATTGATTGAATCACAAGGGTTGGGTCTAACCACATACGAGTGAGCCTGATCCATATAAGTGTTTTGATGGAATATGAAAAATTACAAAATCTACACTCTCTTGTGCGATAATATCTGCGGGATGTGATCTTCAATGTTGTAGTTATGTATTTTGACAAGATCAAGATGAGGTATGTATATGTAAGATATTCCGATGCTCAAGTCAGTTTTAATTTCTAAACTTAAGTATATATTGAGAAAAGGTAAATATACCTTGGTCTTGGTCTCTCTATTTATAACATATGACATTCCCTGCTTGTTGGTTTAATATACTGCCTTAGTATGCCGTCATAATTGATACTTTCTTTAATTGGCTGGTTATATGGCTTTTCTTGCCTACCCTTCATCATGCTTCTTGGTGTAGTGGCGGACTCAGAAAAAAATTTTATATTTACATACTTAGGGAGGGATTCAAGGGCAGCGCTTTCGAAGATTTTTTTTAAAGAAAATTTAATTATATTAAAAAACAAAAAAAATAAACAAGAAAAGAAAAGAAAATTTTAACTTAACGTAAAAAAAAATCAAGAGTCACTACTAAAAAATGCATTTTGTTCGACGGAAAAATTCCGTCGAAAATGGAGTTTTCGACGAAAATGAAGTCGTCGAATTTCTCTTCGTGGCTAACAATTTTTTCGACAGAATTAGAGATTCTGTCGAAAAAAATTTACGGAAATTATTTTCGATAGAATAATTTCTGTGGAAAATTTCGACGAAAAATGAATGAAATTTCGTTGAAAAATCTTGTAGTAATTTTCGACGGAAAACAAATTCCGTCAAAATTTTGCTACGGAAAATGAATAAAAT